GTTTCTGTCAGCATCATCCACCGGGGAGTGCACCATTTTGGTGCGCTCTACAGTTCACAGCCCCCGTAGTCTACACTGCAGTCCAGTGTAGACCTTTACAATCATGCTAGCTGATTTTGTCGTAACCTAGGCTTCTCTCTAGACGTTAACTCAACCAGTTTAGTATATTCTGAAGTACAGTTGCTTTGCGTTGACTAGAGTTTTAGAAGATGTAAAGTAGAGTTAGCTAACTTGATCTAACATCACTCCTTTAAATCCTAGTCTAGACGAACCTATATAGAGGGCCTGAGGGGTTCTAGTATTTGTCCACATCTGCAACTTGTTCTGTGTTAGTCCTCTATCCTGGTTGTTTTAACAACAGCTAGGTGCATGTATCTATAGTTTTTTGCTCTAATATTTGTGAGTTAACCTGTATCTCTTCAGCTTGTTAAAATAAATTATTACCCTGATGGGCTTTGTGTAGTCCATGTGTGTATAAACCCATCAATACATGGTTAAATAAAGAAAATAAATTAATGGAGATATCCTATCTCCTAGAACTGGAAGGGACCTTGGGTCATCGAGTCCAGCCCCCTGCCTTCACTAGCAAGACCAAGTACTGATTTTGCCCCAGATCCCTAAGTGGCCCCCTCAAGAATTTACCTCACAACCCTGGGTTTAGCAGGCCAATGCTCAAACCACTGAGCTATCCCTCCCCTTCTCATGTACTCTGTGCTGATTACTTTTGTTCCAAAGGAAAATGATGAGCCATATTTACAGGTTTTGGGTTTAAAAATATTAGCCTTAGCTGATATTTGTTTAAACAATCAGCTCTGTTGATGGGGTTGTCTTAAACTTTAGCAGGACTTTAGGTCCATTTAAGTATTTGCATGTGGATGCCATGGGGGGGAACAGTTTGAGCAAGGATGAAGAAACAAAAATCAAAACAAAGGGAGAGATTTGTAGGTTAAAAAGTGTGGGTTTTGAATAGTTGCTTCAAAACCAGACATATTTGTTGGAACGGAATCTTTTAGTTCTACATGTGAATTAGTAATGTTTGAATTTCAAATCTGAGACTTTTTTCCATCTTTTTTTTTGTATAATTGAAAACACACACATTATATTTCTACCTTTTCTGTGTATTATTCCTTTTGTATCCTCTAGAACAGGGTACGCGGCCCACCAGGGTAAGTCCCCAGACGGGCCGGACCTGTTTGTTTACCTACCGTTTCTACAGGTTCGGCCGATTGCGGCTCCGTTGGCCTGTGCTGCTTCCCACAGCCTCCATTGGCCTGGAGCGGCAAACCGCGGCCAGTGGGAGCTGCGATCGGTCGAACCGCCGGACGTGGCAGGTAAACAAACTGACCCGGCCCACCAAGGGGCTTACCCTGGCTGGCCACATGCCAAGGGTTGCCGATCCCTGCTCTGGAACTCTGCTCTGGTATTATCTCCTGATAGACTGCAGAAGCACTTCTTCTAGTGCCTTTCTGCCACTGGTTCAATAATTTTTGTCAAGATGAATTGCAGCAACAACAAAAAGTGGGTAATATGCTAATTGTTTAATTGTAAGCATTACTTTTATGAGCAGTGATGATGGACTAACCTGTGAGCCATGATACGAGGACTAGTGATAAGTTTAACTCTCTGCATGATCTGTACACACTTGTTTAACTAATGGTGTAATTTTATACTGATTTATTTAAATTGATGCATCTTTGTGTATGGGAACTCTTAAATGGATTTAAATCTGGTTGATATCTGGTTAGCTTGTTCCTGAAAACAGGAGAAAGCTTAATCGATAAAACTAGTTTTAGGTTGATGATATCAGGATTTTCCACTAGTGTAATGACACTGGGGCAACTTTGTATGTTGACAAGCCCGCAGGAGCCTATCTGCTGAAGCCACATTACCACAAATAGTTATGTCACCCTTGTGGTTTTCTCATCCAAAACCTGCTTAGAGTTTACTACCATACGGTCCACATCTGGCATATGACTAGTTGGCAGTAATGTCAACTCTTATGATATTTGATGTTTTTCTTAGAGCCCCAGCTCTTGGAGTCATGAAATTGAGACGTTCTATTTTCTTTTTTGCTTCCCCTCCCCTCCCCCTTTTCGTTTGTTTCTCTTTCCTTTTGTTTTGCTGGTTTCCCTTTCATTTTCCCTCATTCTTTCTTTCTTTTTCTTTTTTTCTTTCATTTTTTCTTTCGTTTTCTCTCTTTCTTTCAGTGGTGTACCTTTACTATAGAGTCCCATGGAAAGTGAATGGAGTTGGAGTGGAAGACTGGAGGGTGAGGTACTTGAGGTGGTTTCTGTTCAGTTAGTCTCCTCTAAGGCAGATTCTCTGTGGTTAGCATCCTCTAGGGAGTCCATGGGTGGTCTGTAACCATAGAAACTCCACACACAGCATCACCCAACCAGCTGCAGATAAAGAGATAAGGCAAGAGTAACACTGGATGGAGTGATGTAGGGTGTTGTGCTATGTCGAAGGGTACATTGGGGGACTACTTTCTTGGCGAGAGGAATGAGACAAATCCAAAGATGGACATGAGGAACCAGAGATGAGTTTGGGGGAGCCAGGCCAGGGTGATGGAGGGGCAGCTCAAGTGAGGGAGCCAGAATGTGAAGTGGAGTGTGGAGGAACTGTGGGGATCCAGAGGTAGAAGATGGGGTGGGGAACCCAGGGTGGGAGGGTGAGTGAGCAGAAAGGAAGATGGAGCGGAAACTGAATGGGAAACTGGTGGATTTGTTTGGGAGAAAGTATTAATTTGAGAGGGAGGAGGAGGAGCAATGAATTGAAGGATTTTAGAGTCAAGGTTATATAATGAGACTGTGCTTGTTGTTTAAATATTCAAATTGGATTTTGCATAATCTGCATGGAGCCTTTTCCAAACTTACAACATTAATGTATGCTAAGTGGAGTGGTGACACAGGGCTAGTTAATATGGCTTACATTTTAAAACCTGAGGCATCAAACTGGTTTTGATCTTAGTAGATTAGTGGGCTAGAAAAGGACCAGACATTTCAGCCTACTGTTCCCAGTGATGTGTGTCTTAAGCAATTAATTGTAGGCAAATTATGAAGGATAGCAAAGTCATACAAAACACCCTTCACCCTTGTTATTTCTGTATGTACTTTCCTTCCCTTGCAATGAATGTATCTCCGAGGCTGCAGGAGAGTGGATTTTTAATCTTTCATAGGTATTTATACACCTTGAAACTAGATTTTTAGAGTTGTATGTCCAAAAGAACGTGTATAATTTGCACATACGATTACTTCAGTTACATGCAGAGTTACTTATGATAACTGCATATCATTTATGCAGAGATAAGAAGGGCTCGAAAGCCTGTCTCACCGACAGAAGTGGTCCAATAAAAGATTTCATTACATCCCCCACTTTGTGTCTCTAATATCTTGGGACCAACACAGCTACAATTATACTGCATGTCTCATTTATGTATACTTTTTTGCAAACAGTTGTTCTAAAAATCTAGGTTGTGCAGACTGAGCGTAGGAGTGTCACCTGAGACAGCAAGAGATAGAGGAGAAAATCTGCCACTTATTCAGGATATATTCTGGTTTCATGGACTAGTGTATTTGATCTAAATAAGGTTTTGCAGCCTCATCAAAGCATGATCTGCTAGAGAATGTGGCAAACGAGGAGGTAATGCATACCTTGCAACAAGGCAGTGGATATTTTCAAATTGTTATAGTTTGGTAAAAGTGTAATTGCACATGACCATGTAGGCATGACATTAAATCTTACTTCTAGGCAATATTGATATGTGCCAGTACATAGCTATCGGGTTGCAAAGGGAGTCAGATTTGAGTCCTGAAAATATAATGCCTATTCTCCTGTCTGGAGTTGTTGTTCCAGGAAGGGTAGGTCTATTGAGTATAATTTTGCAATAACACTGCCCTTATTGGTTCCTTACGATCATGTTTCTGTCCCCCTCTCTTTGTAGCAAGAGAAAACCCTATTGAATTTGATGCTTCCCTAGGTTTCTGTGTTTGTGTGTTGAGGAGGAGAGGAGTGGTCAGTGCTTGAGTTAGTTACCTTGCAGGTATCAGTAGGTAGTTACCTTGGCACAGAGAGGGATCAAAGAGAATTTAGGCTGGGATACTTTGGATACTTGAGCAATTTTTGGTTGCTCTCCATGCTTCCTTGTGTGTGTCAAACACCAATGAGATGCTACAGTACCATCGTGATATCACGGTGCTGATTTTGATCTTGTGCCGACGTTTCCAGATGTTGTCGCCTACCATGGCCATTTGAACAGGGTTTGGCAATTTTTTTACATAAAAATTAGTTAGTCTTTAAGGTGCCACCAGACTCCTTGTTGTTTTTACATAAACAGTTTTTCATCAGAAAATAACACATTGTCGAAACTGAAACTTTTCGTGAAACCATACCAGTTTTGGAAAAAACTTGAACCAGGCAGGATTCTCAGGTCCGGTATGGGATTTCTGGTGAGAGAGAGGAGCCAGTGGGTAGGGTATGCACCTGGGATGTGGGAGGTCCAGGTTCAAGAATCTGCTCTGCCTGACTGAGAGCAGAAACTTGAACCTGGTCTTCCCACGTTTCAGGTGAGTGCCCTACAGACCAGACTGTGTTGGCTGTTCTGGGGTGAGGGCACTCTCTTGCTCTCTCTTTTGGAGGGGGTGGATGAGGGGTAAAATTTTGTAAAAGTCTTGGTTTCATCCCAGTGCAATGTGGGAATTTTTCTTTTGTTTTTTTCAAACCTTGACAATTTTCATGGGATGGGAAAACTGTTTTCTGTCAGGATCTAATAGCCGTGCCTCTGCATATCTTTTTGAAGCTGACGGCTGTGCTTGATGATCTGGTCAAAATGCATGCTGAAATCTACCTGTATATCTGAAGATGGGAGCAGGACTCTTAGAGTGATGTGAAAAAGGACAGAGAGAAGAAACCAGGAGCCTTGGAGACCGAGAGGGTCTTTTATATAATAAAATTATTGACAATGTGAACTTGACCTCTGGCTTTTTTTGCCCTTTTCTTAGGGTGACTGTGTTATTACAGTACGGCTGACGGAAGAAGCTGAACTTGAAGATGATGTAGTTTTTTACTTGGTGTTTACTGGCTCCGCTGTCCAACACTGCACAAGCACTAGAAAAATTAATCGTGGGACATTGGAGACCATTGCTCCTGGTAAGCTTTCTTTGCAAAACACAGCCTAAAACAATTTGTGAAAACGGATGCATCGAAGTTTATTTAAACCTCATGTAATGTTGAGAATATTATTTTCCCCTACTTGCACAAACTTTTAGAATAAAAAAATATGTATCTGGAAAGATCATTTTAAACCAGGCTTTGACTGGATGGGTTTTTAAAAAACGATCCAGAGGCAAACGGAGGTTTATAGTGGAATCGCATCCGTACGGTAGCATAGTTATTTAATGCATAACTGTTACGCTGTACAAAAGAAAACACAAAGTTTTGCTTATGCATGTTAAGACTGAGTAAAGGCCAGACGGAAGAGGACACAGTTGCCTTTACAGATTACAAATGTCTAGAAATGCCATTTGTTCAAGGGGATTTGCAGCGCAGTAAGGAACTGGCTGCATTTAGGTTGCTAGGGTTGAGTTGAACAGAGGCTCATTAATGTAGCCACAGGTACAGGCTTCCTCCTTTCCTGGGGGTGCTCCACCCCAGGCCCTGCTCCTACTTCACCCCTTCCCCCAAGGCCCCACCCCCACCCCGCCTCTTCCTGCCCCGAGTGTGCCCCCCCCCCACGAGTTCCCTCCCCCCCCCCCCAGCGCCTCCTGCATGCTGCGGAACAGCTGATCGTGGCAGGCGGGAGCCACTGAGAGGGAGGGGGAGGAACTGATCAGCAGGGCTGCCAGTGGGCAGGAGGCACTGGGGGTGGGATGGGGAGGAGCTGGCTGCCGGTGGATGCTAAGCATCCACTATTTTTTTTTCATGGGTACTCTAGCCCCGGAGCACCCATAGCATCGGCTCCTATGAATGTAGCCGTATTGAAACAAGCCCCTGCCTTAAACCTAAAACACCTTCATGCACTTAAACCCAGTGCCATAGTTTCTGAAGTTGTTGCAGGGTGTGATCTCTCTCCAATAAATGTGCTTGGTCCTTGGTGACTTTCCCACTCCTGTGGTATATAGTGCTCAGGAAGAGTCATTCTTGGAGTCTCTTTGGCCCAGGCTTCATGCAATTAAAGAGGGGCAGCAATTTCCTTCAGTGGCTTCAACACCCTGGGAATGAAAATTTTCCAGATGGCATTTTTTACTATTAACCTTTTATCCTGACTGTTGCTATACAGCACATTGATATGAGTGTGAGGAAAAAACAGTTTATTATTTTCAACTATATACAACAGTATAGCTTATGTAATTTAGTGTATTTCCTGCTTTTTATCTATGTGGCATAATTTTATCTAATTTTATCTCCTAATGTTATAGGAGAGATGCATGTTCAATGGAATTTGCCAATGACAGCAGGCTTCTGTATGTTGCTGTGGTCTCTTTGTTTCCTCCTGGTAAATGTAGTGATTAAAGCAAAGTTGGCCATATTATTCACTCTGTACAGTCTCTGTTTGCACTGTCAGGGTAATTAAAGTTACTTGGAAAGAGCAATCTAGTACGATTACTGATTACTGGAACCCAGTGCAGTCAGTGAGATTGATTCATTTTCTCATGGAAGCGATACAGAACTGGTAACTCTTAGACTGTGTTTGTGTTGTGTGTACAAGGCATACAGTAATTCTGTGACAGTATTGGGTGCCGGGACCTCATCTCTCTTGGGACCCAAATAGCAGAATTGCCCAGAAGGGAACTGAAATGATTGTGTTCCGTTTCAGCTTGAAAAGGAGACGGAATACCTCACAGGATTTCATTACAAAAGCAATCCATTTCTATTGTTGTTATCCTAACATCCCTGTATGCAACAAAGGACACCACTTGAGCTTCTGTTTGACTTTAATGATTGTATCTGCAGTGGTGCTGGATGGCAGTTACCTCTAGTAACTTGGGTTTAGTATGTGTATTTCATGTTGGAAGATACTGTCACAGAAGGGAGGACTTCAGTATTGGACCAGTCTTTGGTGAGGGGTGGTGGTGAGGGAAGGTGAAGAGAGAGTCTTTTTTATCATACTTGTATCCAGAAAAAAATCTATTTAGCCAGTATTGTTCCTTGGTTCAGTCTCTCTTACTGAAGATGGATTTCAGAGGGTTAGTCTGTATCAGCAAAAACAATGAGGAGTCCTTGTGGCACCTTAGAGACTAACAAATTTATTTGAGCATAAGCTTTTGTGGGCTATAACCCACTTCATGAAAACTTATGCCCAAATAAATGTGTTAGTCTTTAAGGTGCCACAAGGGCTCCTCGTTATTTTTATTGAAGATGCTGATTCTAGTAGGAGAATGATCTCTCTTAGCTCAGCTTCTCCTCCTGCTGGACTCCACAGTGAATCTGCAATCATGTGCTTACCTTTTGTATTCAGCCAGTTACCTTGGAAATGGTTATGATGACTCATAGCCAAGTATTATTTGACCTCGCTGGAGGATTAACTATGAGCAAGAGGCAGTGTGTGGGAGACTAGCCCTTATTGAAACATCATAGCCGGGGTAATTAACAAGTCCTTCATGATTACACAAATTAAGAAAACCATAAGCAAAGTGAATGACTTTTGGCCAATCATCACATGATAGAACTAGGAGTGCAGGTTCTCTGTGTAGCATACAAGGTAGGGTGACCAGACGTTCAGATATTATTGGGACTGCCCCGATATTATATAACATAAGCCCAAGACTGAGAAGTTGTTGGCTTGTTTGGGTTTTTTTGTGTAGGGGTGGGGCAGGGAAGAAGGAGGTTTAAAGAGAAAAGTTTTTAAACTCCTTTAAACCTATTATGCAAAAGAAACATTGCCATTTTGTTTCCGAACTTTTTCTGGCAGTTCTGGTTTGAAAACATACCAGCGTTCTGCTAGTACATGCGAACCAAAAAGGGGAACTGACCAGACGAGGTTCTGCTGTCTAAGCTAAAGAAAATGTTTAAAACAAACTCCCATAAAGGGAGAGCATTTGATTAGACTGAGTAACATAAGGTAGCATTAGGCAAATAATTTTTTGAACACATGACTTTAACCCTTTCAATTCTCATTATACATAAAAATATTCCATAGTTTGAATGTCTTACTTTAAACAAAAGTTGTTAAGGGCAGAGTCCAAAGCCTGCTACATTTCATCTTACTATGAATAATCTGCTCTTTTACTGTGTGTTTTCATTATTGGTCATATGATAACTAATCTTTAAAAGAAATCTTTTGACTATTGAAATACAAGCTTTTACTTCTATACATGACAAAACTGAAGAAAGGATTTAAATTTATAACCAGAGGTTGAAGATAGGGCAAGATTGTTATTTACAGAGGGATCATTTTTAATTGAAATATTAGATTCTGAATAGACTATATTACTGGGCTGAATTGTACATCAAATTAGATCATCAACTGTGATGTCTTGCAAATATTCAGGACTTGACAGTCCTACTCCCCCAATGACACAGTGGAAATAGCCAATAACCCAGTAAAATTGTCATACAAATTTGTAAGCAGAAATGGATCAGGCTTCATTTTCCTGTGGGTCATTTCACGCGTCATGGGTTCATAGAAGGAATAGCTTAGTGTTTGGACCATGAAAACCCACAGTCTCCTTTAAACACATACACATGTTCATATGTGTAGTACAGTTTTGGAATGTATTACAGTGAGACTTCTGAGGGTTTTTTGTTTTAGGATTTGTTGGTGGGTTAGGTCTGAAGTGTTGAATACCGGAAATGGCAGTTTGTTAAAAGCACCTGATTATAAAATTGTTCCATCTTGCATTCCCATTGCTAGTTAGTAGTGGGGAAGGCAGGGTGGGCCAGAACTGGAGTGGGTTTCGTTCTAAAGTAATGATCACCTCAGCCAAGAAGAGGAACAAAAGTGGGAAAATCACTGTCTAGATTTGTACCAGGAGTGTTGCATAATTAACAGAATGTCACTTGTCTCTCTATTGGGTGGTGGTCATTAGGATTGTTTTTATACAAGCTCTGTTTCCTTTGCTTACTGCTGCGAAGGAGATTAGTAAGAATTTGCACTTCTGCAAACTTATTGATTTTGAGATGCTTAGGAGAGGTCACCCCATATTTTACCTTTTGATCTGTGTGCATGTATATAAAATGTTTATTACTCCATTGGATTACAAACCACATCCAATTGGCAGAGATGGGATGTGCCTATGCCTAAAACACAAAAGCTGTAACAAAGAATAATTGAAGAGAAAGCACATTTTCAACACAAACACCTTTTATATGCTAGAATAAATTTAACAGGGTCTGTCCTCTTCCTCCTCCTCCCATTGCCAAAGCAGGATAGTTCCCATGTTCCAAGATTAAACTCTGTCTCAGAGTCAATATCATACTTGGGCCATTGTAATTATCACTTATTTTACAATCTGAAGGCCTTTAGGTTGGAAAAAGGGGTAAACAGTGAGGTGGCAAAATTTGCAGATAATATAAAACTACTCAAGATAGTTAAGTCCCGGGCAAACTGCGAAGAGCTACAAAAGGATCTTTCATAACTGGGTGACTGGGCAAAAAAAAGGGCAGATGAAATTCAGTGTTGATAAATGCACATTGGAAAACATAATCCCAACTATACATATAAAATGATGGGGTCTAAATTAGCTGTTACCACTCAAGAAAGAAGCCTTGGAGTCATTGTGGATAGTTCTCTGAAAATATCCACTCAATGTGTAGCGACAGTCATAAAAGCAAACAGAATGTTGGGAATCATTAAGAAAGGATAGATAATAAGGCAGAAAATATCATATTGCCTCTATATAAATCCATGGTACGCCCACGTCTTGAAAACTGTGTGCAGATGTGGTCACCCCATCTCAAAAAAGATATATTGGAATTGGAAAAGGTTCAGAAAAGGGCAACAAAAATGATTAGGGGTATGGAATGGCTTCTGTATGAGGAGGGATTAAGAAGACTGGGGCTTCTCAGCTTGGAAAAGAGACGACTAAGGGGGGATATGATTGAGGTCTATAAAATCATGACTGGTGCGGAGAATGTAAATAAGGAAGTGTTGTTATTTACTTCTTCTCATAACACAAGAACTAGGGGTCACCAAATGAAATTAATAGGCA